TTCTGAGGATGAAAGAATGTCTTACGGGTTTGGAACAACATGAAGGTGAGTAATTAATGACAGAGTTTTAATTTTTGGGTGAACTATCCCTTTAACATTTTATTATTGATGCTAAATTAGCTTTTTATTTTCTTTTTGCTATTCAGATCTTTGATATGATCTGTGGGTGTTTGCTATATTCTCTCTCACTTACTTGCATGCAGATTTTTGTGGTTAATAAAGCAATTATGAAAACAGCAGTTTAAGTGATTTTTTTTAAGTGATTCATGTCATTTTTGATTGTTAGGTTGGCGAACTGTGAAAAGGGTGTAGGAGGTTTAACACCACAAGAGGAACTATGTGACTAACAGCAGCACTGAGGCACATTTAACATTTTAGTCAAGTTCTGATTTGACAAGTTTAGTCCTACGGTCTGGTTCTACATCTGCATGTTTTAACAATGCACAGGTCAACGTGTAAATTAATTTTCACATGTTCCATTGACTTGTCGTAGACCCCGTTTCACCACAGAGCATACTCAGTGCTGAAGTGGCTATTCGAGACCACATTCAATTCCTCTAAACTGAAAAGCGTACCCCCACTCAGCCCACAACGGATGAGTGTATTTTTTATTGGTAGCAAATAACGGTAAAGCCCACCCACAAGCTAGCATTTATTTCCTACATATAGCCCCTTTCACACATCACTCACCAATATCTGCTGGACAAAACAGAGTAGTTCAAGGTAAGAAGAGAATTTTACATCACCTTTTAAAGAAAATAGTGCTTTTTTTCTTGCTGCTTAAGTTTATGTCTGTGATGTAATGCAAAAGAAATAAGCAACTAAAATTTGTTCTTTTTTAATAATATTCCTCATGATCCCTGTAGGCAAGATCCACTTAATTGTCATAAACCTAACTACTATACAATATAATAACGCTTTTTCCATCATGTTCATGCACAACACACTGTTATTAAAAAACCTGCAGCACAAGGCATACATCCTATTATGACAGTCCTGTTAATATTTCAAAATTAGTTACATTTTGGAGACTAGAGTTTAAAAGTAAGGCATTAACCTGTTTAATCCCCAATTTTTCCCAGGCATGAAAATAACCCTTTGAAATAATAATTATTTTTTGAATTTTTTTGGAAAAGTGTGTGAAAAATGGTGTTTTATGGTCGGTCACAATTGTGACCGGTGGGATAATGTGTGTACTGAATTAACATATTTCTGCAGTAATAAAAATCGTTACATATCTTAGCCCAGCTATTTTAAACAGTTTGATCACATTCTAGTGTCACTATTATGCATAAAAAACCCTTATACAATATTGATAGGAATACTGAGATAAAAGACAAAAAAATACAACCATCAACGTTTTTCAAAATTGTTAATTTTTTTGTAATACTTATCAAAATTTTTATTTTAGTGCTAGCAGTATTACAACATCAATATTGTAACTTATATTTGCAGGAAGTGCACTAAAACATTAGTAAGTCAGTAAAGTTTTTAGAGGTTTATAAATGAAACCCTTTTTTACGGTCACTATTGTGACCAGTGGGATTAAATGGGTTAAGTATGTCAGAAGTACTTCAGAAGTCATTTAAACATTACAAGTCTATTTGGTAATGAAAATTAACTATTATGTCAATATTTTTTTTTATTTATTACATTATGAAGGTTTTGGAGCCTTGTTGTAATATGTTGTTTGTAATATAAAAAAAAACTTTTTAAATATTCCTTATGATCCCTGTAGCCAAAGATCCACTAAATTGTCATAATCCTAACTACAATACAATATAATAACCTTTTTCCATCATGTTCATGCGCAACAGACTGTTATTAAAAACTTGCAGAGCAAGACATCCATCCTGTTATGACTGTTATTTATAATAATTTAGAATTTTGCGTGTGAAAGTAATTTTGTGAGACTGTAATTTTTGTAATTTAGTAATTTTTTACTCACCGTTGACTGTGCAATTTTGTACTGTTATTTCAAGTTTCAATAAAAATAAATAAATACATCAATAAAATATAAACACTCGCACACACATAATTGTCATGTTTTTTTCATAGGAAAGAAGAGCATCCATACACCTTATCTCAATCCATTTTACAGGAATGTGGGCCGGGCTTGTTTTTTACCTCTTTCTGCCCATCGTGCAGTCATGCACTAAAGGTAAACCGAATGAATGTGCAGAAGCAAACTTCGCCCCCGGGTCCAACCTGGCCGGAGAAGGATACGATGTGACCAAGATGCAGCGCATGGGAGCCTTTGTCATTAACACAGAGGTCTGGAGGCGAAAGGATAAATCATGCACTCTTTGCAGGAACCCCTACATGGAAGGAGCAAATCAAAAGCTTCCCACATCTGTGGTAGACTGGAGATCCAGCAAAAAGTGCAGCATTCAGATATCAAGTTCCCTGTACCAGTCCAGTGAAGAACTGGTCAGCTCCAGCACTTCCTCCATTGAGAACAACTGGGGTGCAAATTTGGACTTAGATATTCGCCAAAATAAAGGCTCATTCGTTTTGGCTGGAACTAACTCGAAGCTTGCAGAGTACTCAATGGGGAAGACCAAAGGAGACAAGTACAATTTTGCCAGCCAAAGTATTTCTTGTTCATTTTACAGGTGCGACATACCAGCTTCCATTGATTCATGCCTTTCTTGAATACTGAATACTTTTTATTCATGATAAAGTAAAAGCAAAGAGTCATATCCTTCTCCTATCTCTTCTAACATTTCAGCTACAGGGTCTCCAACAAGCCTGTTCTCCATCCCGAGTTCAAGCGCTCTGTGAAGGAGCTTCCCAAGACATACAATCTTGATTTCAAAAAGCGTTTTTACAAGTTCATTAACACCTATGGAACCCATTACATCACTAAGGTAATTCTGGCTTAGAAATTAACTCCACATGTATGGATTACAAAGGTCCAAAATGCTTCAACAACACAATACACCGCAAGTCAAGTCATTAATCAGAAGTGTGTCGGTGTTACTTTTTTGTTTTGCCAGGTAACCCTTGGAGGAAGCGTACACTCTGTGACCAGTATCAGACAGTGTGAGATCGCTCTGCAGGGGTTAAGTGCAGATGAAGTGAAGACATGCTTGGGCATGGAGGCAAGTGCCAGCATCCTTGGCAAAGTAGATATGAAAGCAGAAAGTAAGCACTGTAATGAAGACAAGGACAAAACAGAGAGCAAAAGCAGCTTCTCCAGTCGCTTTAATGACAGGTGGGTTTAAATTATGACGTGTATTGTCATTTCTAGCTTGTCATACATTTACTGTCCTGGACGTTAGCTCGGCCATCATCTAATGCTCACTTAAAGTAAATCTTTAAAAACATGAATAAATAACAAAAGAATGAAATGTAATCTTTAGCAGATCTACGATTTTATATCCTTTTTTATATACTGTAAGTTATAATGTTGTGGTGCCAAAATAAATTTAACATTAATAATTTTCATTTGTCTATTTATTTTTAATATTTTGTATTTTATTTAGACAAAAAATGTACAGAATTTTTATCTCAGTCATTTATCTGTTATCAGCCACATTGTAAAAAGTGTTAATAATTTCTTATTTGGTAGTGTTGCCTTGTTTTCCAGTATAAATATCGAAACATTCTAAAATCAGCAGACATTCTCAAGAAGCACAATTGTTTTCTGAGATTTTTAAAAATGTTTTCTTAAAACAAGAAAAAATATCAATGGGGTAAGAAAAATAAACGTAATCAAAAGGAAAACATTTTTCCTTACCCCATCGGCTAAAAAAAACAATTTTTTCTCAAAAAAAAAAAAAAAAAGTGTTTTATCTGTGTTTTGACGTTGTTGTTTTCTTTTTGAGGAATTATCTTCATTATTGGACAGCACTTTGGTCAATGCTCTGTTGTTTTAATGGTGCTTTATAAATAAATAAACTGAACTGAACTAAAAGTAAATGTATCTTCATGTAATAATATTTAGATATTTGTACTGGAAAACACGACAAAAACACTGAGAAAGAAATTGCCTTTATGAAAATAATTTCATGTTTCAATATCAGTGTATCCCTAATCAAGTGGTT